GTTGTTTAAATCCCACACTTAGTGTCATTCTCATGAATTCATATAAAAAGTTTCACCACGAACAACTGTTACTTCCAACTTTGCACCCATAATCAGTACACTAAATGGCGCGTAAGCGCATGGTTTTCCGTTAAACTAGCATGACCCATCAGTAAAAACAACAAAATCAATATCATTAACAAATTTTTTTTAATTCTAACTAAAACATTCTTTATTATCTCATATTTATTCATAGTCTTAAAAGTTATCTGTATAATGTTTTTTCTACAACAATAACTGAAGCATATGCGGGAATAGATATCCCCATGCGACTAAAGCAAATACTATCCTTTCACTATGGCACCAATTTACAATCACTTTAAATAAATTTTTTTAACATTTTAGTTTGTAACTTTTTCACCATAAACTCTAACCACTTAACATTTTACTCAACCTTCAAAGGTATAAATCTCTCTTTTTTTCTTCTAAAGTTATCACAATCCTTGTTATAGCATTGCTGTCATTATTTTTAACCATGCGAACAACTTGGGGTTTATAAACATTAATCACCACCACTTGTTAAGAGGTTGTCGTCAGCGTTTGAAGGAACGCGTTTCATCATGTCCTTAACCATTTTTTCTGAAATAAATACATTGTCAAACCTTTTAGGAAAATATTAAGTGACCTGTCTTACATACTTATTTTGTAAATCAGTAATTATTAACATTCTACGCCATGCTTAAAACAGTTATTAGTCTCGCTAATAAAAGCTTCATTTAAAAGAGAAATAGCTTTATAATATTGGCTCATTTTTTCTTCATTACACATACAAATCTGTAGCCTTAGTCAATTTTTTTAAATTTTTTTCCATATGACTTGATCATATGCAAAAAAGCATTGTATTCATTCTGAATTTCCATTATGAGTCTTCCAGAAAAATTTTTAGAGCTTGTATACACAATAATAATCCAGAAAGTTTTATTGTTACCTTTTCAAACTAAATTCTATTTAAATTTTAAAGTTGGAGTCCACCAATCCTCTGTAGCAGTCTTTTTTAGTTCAGACAAATGGTTGGCAACTTCTTTTTCAATAAATGACATTCCTGCTCTGAGGTATAACATAAGTATGCTATCATCTAATTGTTGAGGTATAACATTGGTATGCTATCTTCTACTTGCTCAATTTTTATGTGATTACGAAAAGTTTTTTTCTTTGAGTAAATGTAAAATTTTTTTTATTGAAGGGTACCATAAGTTGTTCTGTGTCTGCTTTCGCCCTGTCTCACCTCACATCTTGCCTCGTTTCACCCCTTGATGTCTGTTTTCATTGTGAATGTCAAAAAGTTTTGTATACCTGTGTTTTTTACATGCCCTAAGGATTTCTGTGGTTAACTGAAATTCTCTATAGGGTGGCCGTAATAGTATAGTACCCATAGAGAAATTTTCATTAAGAGTGTCAAAAGATTTTTCTGAATGTAGAAAGTTTTCTATGCTTGGGTTATGGGTATCCATAAATGATTTCTATTTGAGTGTCAGAAAAATATCCAAGTACTAAAAAAAATTTCTATACCTGTCAGACGCTAAAAGGTTTTCTATAAGGTTAAAAGTATAGACCAGTGGAGAGACCCTTAGCTTTTACAGGTATCAGAAGTTTTCTTTATTGGTTAAAAGTATAGATGGGTAGAGGGTCTCAGACCCCTCTTTTTATAAGTATGGGTGCTTTTTGGTGGTCTCAAACCCCCTTTTTACTACCACTGAACCAGATAACAGGCGATAATTAATAAATAATTTATTTAACTGTAAAACATCTCAACTCAAAGTTAACTGGAAATTAATTTAAACTGTTAAAAAAGATTTTTAAATAAAGTATTATTACGCAATTCATATTGTTTTTGATTGCCATCTGGTAGCAGAGATTAGTTTCTTTGCCACGGAAAAATGGTAAAAAGATAAATTCAAAAGTCTAATTTGTAAACGGAAGATCATTTAACAATTTAAAATGAAAAGTCTGCATTAAACAGGAATAAAACTGTTTTAAAGTTTACGTTTACGCAAAATAAACATGAAATTATTCACTTTTAGAAGACGATGAACCCACGAGTAAAAACATGTTACGCGAATTGAGTATCAATTAATAAAGACACAAAACAAAGTTATTGAAGTAGATGGGTAAAAAAAAGTATAAAACATAATTTTACAAAAAGACTGCAAAAGTTGGACATGATCTGGAAACAATTAAACGTGTCTCCTTACTCATGTTTAACGACGATATAAAGTGTTACGATAATTAGAAAGCTTTATTCAATGCATGTATTGACAATGCTTTGGCGACCACTGAATATAAATTACTGCAGTTGAGTGAATATTTATGTGGAGATACATTAAAAACAATCAAATGACTTGAACATTTGTTATTTGCTAAAAAAGCCGCAAAAGAAAGACTTAAAAGAAAATATGACGGAACAAGAAGAAAAGTCCTCATGTACTTGGATGATTTGAACAACTTCAAACCCAAAGGAAAATCAATCAAGAAATGTTGAAAGGTTTGCCGACATTTTGGATGTGGTTGTAACAAACTTAAAAAAGCAAACAAAACTGAAGAAAATGCAGAACTAATGGAAAGAACTAATGGAATTAATGGCTTTACATAAGTCACAATCGTTTGCTTCACAAAAAGTGTCTAGTTAAATGAATTTCTAAAGAACCCAAGAAAAGAAAAAGCAATAGAAAACTCTCATACGTTAATTATCCGATTACATTCAGAACACGTTATAATTTGTATATCTCTTCAAACGGTAGTTTCTTGAAATGGAAATAAAAAAGTTGTGGTCAACGCATAACTTGACAATAAAAGTATAAAGTCGTATTTGAATTCTGATGTAGCTGCTGAGTTGTCTCTGCAAAGTAAAACAGAAAAGGTGATTGTCAATATGATAAATAGAAAAACTGATTCGTTTAAAACAATGGCAGTGGAATTCCAGCGAGAGCCATTGAATAAAAAAATACAATTATTAAAATGCAAGCATTTACAGTAAATAATGTAACTGGAAACTTAAAATCAGTTAATTCGGCAAAAATATCAAAAAAAGAAACATCTACAAAAAATAGAATTCCTAAAAATTCGACAACCAAAAATTGATGTTCTAAGTGGTGTGAATTATGCTGAAATGCACTGTGCAATTATGGAAGTTTAAGGGGAATCTAATAAAACAGTCGCTTGACTAAAAAATATGCAGTTGGATAAAAACTAAACAATGATATTAAATCTACTGATGAACAAAGAAAAACATTTAATAAAAAACAAAAGTCTTGGAGATTAGTATAATAATATAGTTAAGCAGTTTCAAGAGAAGGCATTTGGAAAAAAATATTAAAAAAAACCTTAGGTGATTATTTGCGCTCGGAAAAGGCACCTTAAGATGCTACAATATTTTTCTAACAGTGTTACAGATATGAAATCAGTAAAGATCTTAAATAAAATTGTAATAAAATTAGGATCACAAGAGTTTAAAGGGTACAAATGCTTCCCCATTTCAAGGTACGATCCATTGCTGCCTTTTGGGGGTTCATTCGCTAGCCCTAGGTGAACGTAAATGAATCTGAAGAGCTGCTTTTATACCTAATTTTAAAACATTTAAAAAAAACCGAACTACCATTAACGTTTCAATTTGTTTTGCAATATCTCCTGTGTCAGCATTTCCAGGATACGCTCTTATGATGTTATTTTATTTTCTTCTATATCTAACATTGTGTCTCCTTTGCTCATATCGTTCAATTATAAAGAATAAAATTAATGCAGTTGCAAAAATCACTGCCCACGATCTATCAGTAACCCACATAACAACCATTGTTTTTTATATGGTGCTTTTTCACAAAACCACCATATAAGACTTTCATTATACGGAAGTGCTTGCCCTGCTTTCCAACCAATCTACTTTAATGCGTTTGCAAGATATTCAAGAAATTTTTAGTTTTCACTTTTTGACTCCTTCTCCTCCATCTCCTCCATCTTCTTTGTCTGCCTTGCCATTCTCTTGTCTGGCTTGCCACCTCTTTTGCATCCATCTCTTTTGTCTGACTTGCCACCTCCCTTGTTTGCCTCCTCCATCATATTTTTTTCACTTGCCAGACATTAATTTTAAAACAAATGCTATTATACCTCCTATTTAGTAGGTACGTGAAAAAGCAACAGAAAATGGTTTTGAGTTAAATAAGTATAAGCTTCGGCCATCCTTAGATTATAAAACATATCACAAATTCTGACAAAACTCATTTTTAGACTTAATTTGTATGTCTTGATAACCTTCTTCAATCTTGATACATTATTTGCAGGCCCGGTTTTAAGCGTAGGCGACGTCTGCGACAGCCGACGGCGGCACTTTTCTAGAGCGGCACTTTTCTTAATTTATTTTGTGTTTTCCCAAAAAAAAAAAAAAATTTAAATTTTTTTTTTGTAACAAGAAATTATTTTATTTTTTTTACGGGAACTTTAATACATACTAATTTTTTCAAATAAATAATATAGTAATAAAAGTGTTTGTTTGTATACATGTTTTACATTTGGGATTTGGCGAAGAAGAAACAGTAAAAAAAAGTTTCTTTTTTCTTTTTCAGGGATGGATGTTAGCAAACCGCCAAATATACAAACAAACGAATTCTATTCGTTCATAAAATACGCTGACTAAGCAAATTAAAGTTCCAGAATATTCCTAAGAGACTTTCTTAAAAATTTTATTGAAGTTATCTTTGAGATATCTATTGTAAATTGTTATAAAAGTGTATTATTAAACGAACTTTAACTTTGAAAAAAAAAAAAAATTATTATACCCTTTTATAAATTGATTAATATTTGTCTAACAATAATTTTTATAAGTAAGTAGTTAAAGTTAGTTTTTTCGTTTTCTTTTTCATGTATTTGAATAAACTTATTATTATTATTATTATCATTAAATATAAAAATTTAGGTATTTGTATCAATGCTATATTTTTTTTAAGTTTAAATTCTTTAAACGATACAATATAATGGACCGTGGTAAGAGACAGCGCTTGTCTGGGTCACAATACAAGAAAATTAGGCTTCAACGTGAAGCAAATTCTGCCAAGCAGAAGAATGCTTTGTTGCACTTTTTGGGCAGGTCATCAAGCGAAAAAGCACTGGCACCTATAGTAGCTTCAACTTCAAACCAAAATGAAGTTGAAATTGAAATCGAAAGCGGTGGAGAAATAGAATATGCGGATAGTGTTAGTGTTAATGAATATAGAAATTCTGGAAATGATGATACTGCTAAAGAACCAGAAAATGTTGATGAAGTGGAATTTATCTCCAATTTAAGTGAAGTTGTTGTACAGAACGTCGATGATATAGGACAAAATGAAAACAATGAAGATCAAAGTGGTGAAGACCCCAAAACCAATAAAGATTTGCCTCTTAATTTTAATGATCCGGCAAAATGGCCTATAATAGATGGTAAATTTAAAGCATTGCTGATGAAGTATGGTCCAATTCAAAAATTGCCGTCTTTATTTCCCGAAGATGAACAAGAAAATTTTCAAGCTTTCATTTTTATCGCCGAATGTCTAATGGCGATAAAATTAAACGCACTTGGTTGGTGTACTCCATTACGAAAGACACTGTATTTTGCTTTTGCTGTAAGATATTTAGTCCGAATAAATTCTCCCTGTCATCGCATGACGGCTGCCGAGATTGGAAAAATATTTCTGTTATTATTAAACGACATGAAACATCAAGTGGCCACACTACTGCATATCTAAATTGGAGAGATCTGGAGGTGAGACTTAAATCAGGGGCTACGATTGATCACATTAATCAGAAAATAATTCAATCTGAAACTCAACATTGGCGACAAGTTCTTGCAAGAATAATAACGTTAATTAGAACTCTTGCTGGACAAAATCTAGCATTAAGAGGAACATGTGAAAAGCTTTTCGAACCGAATAACGGAAATTTTCTTAAATTTATTGAATTCTTAGGAAATTATGATCCTATTATGAGTAAACATATTCAACGAATAACAACAAGTGAAATTCACACCACCTATCTCGGAAAAACTATTCAAAATGAAATTGTTGAATTGCTTGCTAATAAAATCAAAAATGACATCTTAGCAAAACTAGAGCGAGCAAAGTACTACTCACTTATTTTAGACTGTACCCCCGATATAAGCCACATGGAGCAGATGACAGTTGTTTTTAGGTTTGTCAGTGCAACTGAATCATCTTCGGAAAAACCAGCTGAAGTAGTAGTTTCTGAACACTTCGTAACTTTTCTTGAATTACAAGACACAACGGGAGCAAATATGACAAAAGTTGTTATCGATAAGTTGCAGGAATTAGGCGTAAATCTTGATGACATGAGGGGACAAGGGTACGATAATGGAGCCAACATGCGCGGAAAATATAACGGTGTGCAAGCCAGAATTCGTCAACTAAATCCTCGAGCTTTTTTCGTTCCTTGTAGTGCCCACTCCCTCAACTTGGTATTGAACGATGCAGCTAATTGTTGTATGGAGGCTGTCGCATTCTTTGATTTAATTCAAGGCATTTATAACTTTTTCTCAGCATCAACTCACCGTTGGAGTATATTATTAAACCACCTAAGCGATCTGACTATTTTGATATTCTTTTTGATATTCTTTTTTCGCATTTTTCAAATTTTTTATTAGATTCACGTAATTCATTTTGTGCTTTATTACGCCGACTTTCCAGATTTATTGCATCTTCTAAACTTGTTGCGGCAGCATTTTTTTCTTCTTCCAAATGTTTTATATTTCGCTTCCCATTCGAATTTACCTAATTTATATTCTTTATGTTTATCAAGCTCAGTTAACCAGTTAACCTCAGTTAACTCAGTTAACCTATTAGAATTTTTCTCTTCAAACTTGTCCAAACAATTTCAAAGCCTTTAACCTTGTCGTTTCTTTTGACTTCTACGTCTGTGAGTATTTCTTTAAGCTCTAAATCAGCTCTTTGTTTTTCCATTTTAAGGTTTGTCTCTTCACCAATAGTGCTCAAACTATCAGCAACCCCGAAAAAAAATCTTCTGATGTAATTTTATTTTTAACATTTTAAAAATTATTATTAAATACATTCTCCAGTTATTCAAACGCATTCAAAAGTTAAACTTATAACCTTAAAAGCTTCTAATGTAAATTTTGACGGTTTTCCTCTTTTTTTTTTTTTTTATTAAAGTAATCTTTTATTTTTTATCCCATAAGTAAAATCAATATCTTTTGTTCACTCACACCAAATTCAGTTTTATAATTAATAATTCCGAACTTTGAATTATAAATTAGTGTTGCATACCATTCTCTTTTTTTTTTTTTTTTTTTTATTTGCATTCACTCCCAACAAGGCTGCAAGCAACCACTATTAAGTTGGGAGTTACTAGGAAAAGGAAAGAAAGAACAGTTATAGAGCAAGGAAACGGTTGACAGAAGACTTGAAAAGTTGAAGGTTGTATGAGTCAGGAAAACATGAAGATGGGAGAGAGTTCCAAAGGATTGAAGTGCGGGGAAAAAAACTAAATGAATAAAAGTTTTTAGAGCATGCAGGGACAGATACAGTAAACGAATGAGACTTAGCTGAATGACGAGTAAAACGAGAATGAATTTTAGTTGATAGAACTAGAGATGATAACTCCTTTGAGCAGTGACCATGATAGTATTTGTAGAAAAGAGAAAGAGATGCAACTTTACGACGATGGGAAAGAGGCTCAAGCTTAGCAGATAGTTCAGGTCCAACAACGTTTACAATGCGTTTTTGGACCTTGTCTAGAAGAGAAAGAGCATCATTAGAAGAGCCAGCCCAAATATGACAACAGTGTTCCATACAGGGACGAATAAGAGATTTGTAGAGGTAGAGAATGGAATCAGAAGTAAGGAAATGGCGAGCACGATAAAGAGAAGCAACCTTAGCAGAAGCTAATTTAGCAATTGATTGTATATATGGTTTCCATGAAAGATCAGTAGTAAACGATAATCCAAGAAGACGTAAAGAGGAGGACTCAGTAAGAGGATTGCCATTCATTAATATAGGAATTTTGACCATATTACGATAGTTGTTTGCAGTAAACAACTGGGTTTTGTTAGAGTTGAAATTCACAAGCCACTGTAAACCCCAATCTATTACAGAAGTGAGATCAGATTCAAGATCAGCTGCTTGTTCTAGGCGATTGAAAAGAGAAGACTTTTTGTCAAGACAGGAGTATAAAGTTGAGTCATCAGCAAAAAGAGCTACTTTAGATGTAAGGTTGTCAGGAAAATCGTTTATGAAGATAAGAAACAAAATAAGGCCCAGGATGGAACCTTGGGGTACCCCAGAAGTTACTGGAAATAAAGAAGAGTGTTGGCCTTCAAGGATGACTTTAATAAAGCGGTTAGAGAGAAATGATTTGATAATCTCAAAAACTTTCCCAGAAACACCATATGAAGCAAGCTTATGGAGAAGACCAGCATGCCAAACTTTGTCAAAAGCTTTAGATATGTCAAGAGCAATAGCCCTAGCCTCACCGCCTCCATCTAATGCACGATAAAATCTTTCAGTTACAGCAGTTAGCAAGTCAGCCGTAGAGCGAGAGGATCGAAAACCGTATTGATCGTCTGACAGTAGTTTATTTGACTCAAGATGAGATGTGAGAAATTTGTTGATCAAAGACTCAAAGACCTTGCTAATAACAGAAAGAAGACTGATCGGACGATAATTGGAGGGGTCAGAATTTTCCCCAGAGTTTTTGAATATTGGAACCACAGATGCTATTTTCCAACAGGCAGGAAAAAAAGACTCAGTCAAACACTTATTAAATAGTTTAGAGAGAATTGATGAAAGTTCTGGAGAACAATTCTGCAAGACTGTGACAGGAATGTTGTCAGGACCACAAGCTGTAGACGAGTTTAGTTGAGATATGACTTTAGCAACGGAAGCCGGAGTGATTTGAATGTCTAACAATGGGTCAACCTGTTTGACTGGAATGGAAGGAAGAGAATGTCCATAAGATTCAAGAGTAGAATTAGAAGAAAAGTTCTTTGCAAATAGTTCTGCCTTATCCTTTAAGAGGTAATAAGATCAGTCCCATGAATGAGAGATGGGATGTTAGATCTACCCTTGTTAATAATGCTGTTGAAGATTTTCCAAAAGTCTTTTGAGCCTAACTTCTGTGATAAGATGCGAGATTTAGTGAACTGAGAATAATGGAGTTTAGCATCAGAAAGCACCGTTTTACATCTCTTACTTTATTACTAGATTAAACAATATCTCCATGGCAACCATTATTGGAATTTTTTCGATTTCTAAAGATGGTATAAAAATTTTTACAATCTCTACTGATGTATCCTGAAAATTTGTAATGCCATCCATAAATTGCTCTTTTTGCTCTATTTCATATTTTTCTTCATCAAAGATGTCAGCATCCTCATCATGATTGATGGGCATCGTTTCCCAATCACCCCAAAAATCCAAACCACTTCTTTCAAGTAATGGAATAGCTCCCGATGGTTCTGCCATCGTAAAGTTTTTTACGTTAACAATATATTAGATAGTAATCAGATCTTTAATAAGACATTAAGTACGGCTTTAAGACTATAAATAGCTATGGAACTCCTTCCGCAACCTTATTACAAGACACCGGCGCAGAAGGGATAGGCAGATTATAACAATTAAACTTAATCCATTAACCGTTGCATCTCCTTCAACCACCACACTGCTTGTCCGTTTTCCCACTTTATCATCTAAAATGGTCTTTGTAATTAGATCAGTACGATTACTATACAACGTCCTTATAATATTTTGTACCGACTAAACTGCAAGACTTGTTGCAAATTTAGGGCATGCAATAATTCAAAAATTAACAGTAAGAATGCAAGGCTAAGAAATACAATCACAAATTTTTTATGGAAATTACTGGAGCGTTTAAGAGCTGTTCCTCCTATCAACTCAGCGAGTTTTACCTGATAAACTGATGTAGGGCATCGATGACCAGGCTGACCCCGGTAATTTAACCCACCTAAGACCAAGATCTTTACCAGGCTCAACCAAAGACCTAGATCTCTACCAGGCTTAACCTAAGACCTAGATCTCTACCAGGCTCAACCTAAGACCTAGATCTCTACCAGGCTCAACCTAAGACCTAGATCTCTACCAGGCTCAACCTAAGACCTAGATCTCTACCAGGCTCAATGCTGCAACTTTGCTCGCTTTTGGCTGAGAACCAGCCCACAACGGATTCACAACGGGTACTGCACTCCCCTTGATTTTGAACTCTTCTTTGTTAAAGGACCCTTCCATCCCTCAGGTTTAGGAGATCAACGAGAATATGAAATTATTTTCATTGACCATACGAAAGTTATTATTTCTACTGACAATTCATCAACTTCAAATTATTTACTCAGCAACACTGCTTTGCCATATGAGATTGTATATAACGCACAGCTAGCCAATGAATTCGCTTTGAACTCCTCTTGAGCAAATAATACATCACCACCGTGTCTAGCGCGACGCAACTCAATCCTAATTGCTTTTTGATGTAAACATTTCATGTGAAAGCCTCTAATACGTTTTTATATACCGTCTTCAGTCTATCAAGGTTGTTATTTTGTCTGACACTAAGATTGTTCGTAAATCCTGAAACATAACAAATAAAAAAAATTTATTAAATGTTCTTCATAAAGTAAAGACAAAAAAAATGTATTGAAACTTATTCATATGAGATGTCAATACAATATTTTACTAGATTTTACAATAAAATAATGTTTTCACAGGGGTAATTTTAAATTTAACACAAGAGAGGGAATAATCTCAAAAAAATTGCGGAATAATCTAATTATAATACAGGTTTTTAAAACTCCAGTTCTACCAACAGGGTTGTGCAATATACCGACTAGCCGGCTATATTCTTAAATATATCGACTATTAGCTAAATTTGACTTTCCTTTTGTATGTATGTGGAGTAGGCATATGACTTTGAAACTTTTTGATTTCCTGGGGTTTCAATAGATGAACTTTTACATCTAGATTGCATTTATTATTCCTTTAATGAAAAATTATGAAAAAAGGTGGCGCACCCATAAGCATATTGTGATGACGTCACTATTCAATACAAAACTTTAAAGAAATGGCGTTATATAATTATATTGCGCTAAATGTAGGCAATGTTTTATACCTTAAATCTTAGCTTCTTATTGCTAATTAAAGTTAAATATAGTTTTAACAAGCTGCCTTTAACCAATAGGCTTACACTTTCAAAATTTCATATTAAAAGTAGAGTTTCTAGTAGTTTGGCTTTATAAGCTTTGGTTTTTCTCTTCTGCTTTTGTCTAATTGCTTTCTTGTTTTATTGTAGAAGCTATTCTGACAGAAAAAGTTTAGATTTCATTTAGTTTATCAAAGACATGTCAAAACTATCACGTAACCTAGTTAATAAAAGCTCCAATGTATGGCAGCAGAATATAAAAAGCAAAGTTGTCAGGCGTTTAGAAATACCTTTGCGAGTTACTGAATTAAATGAACTCTGCAAAATCCCTCTTAACAGGGACATTGTTGGGCGTTTTTTGGGATTATATGATAAAATGAAGGAGAAGAAAATAAGAATAGAAACTATTGCAAAGGAACTAAATTTACTTTGGGATAAATTTAATTTTCCTGTCGTATCAATGCAACGTGTCCACCCAAAAATTGCAAATCTAATTGGTTCATATGTGAGATACAGAAAGAAAAAGGGTATGAGATTTCTGAAGGAATTAGCAAGCCTCTTTAATATAACTAAAACTGATGGAAATTGGTTGTCCTCTGAAGACAAACAACTTTACCTACAGCAGATTGAATCTCATGGTACTGTTGGATACACAACTGCGAAGTTTTCACCAATTTCAACAATTCATCCGTCTAAACTCCGAAAAGTTATGCAATCTTCAGTTGAGAAACAAATCATGGTAACTTCAGGTTAATCTGTGCAAGAAACTGGTGCTGAAATATCACCTGGTGATGATTTTATACTTGAAGTGGAAACAAAGAGGAAAAAATATCAAAAAACCAAGGCTACTGCAAATCTGGTTACCAAATATTCTCTATCTACAAGACAATCATCCAGAATCTGTTCTAGTCTAGCTGTTGAATGTTCTGCTAAGTTACCCACACCATCACAAACTGGAATATGGAAAAGAGTGGTCAGAGATGGAATTAGAAAGGCTGCTGAAATAAAACGCATTCTTCAGCAGGAAAATTATTTCTGTTTGCATTTCGATGGAAAGAAACTGTCATCTAAAGAATATGAAGTTGTTTGCTTGCAAAGTCCTTTAAGGAAAATGAATTTAGGTATCATCATATGTGAATCTGGTTCGGCTGCAAACATATTTTCTGGATTGAAGAAGCTCTTAAATGGCTTCGATGGTTGGAAGAGTATTAAAATGATTGTGTGCGATACAACAGCAGTCAACACTGGTAGCAGAAATGAAATAATCGCTCGGCTTTATAAAGAACTTGAAAGAAAATGTATTATTAGACCGCAGTACATTGGGTGTCAACATCACATCCTTGACTTGGTTTTTCGACATTTACTTGACTTCTGTGTTCCAACAGTTTTACAGAAACCAGATATAAACTATGAGTTTGTTGATAACATTTGCAGTCAGTATGAGAACCTTCAGACGAAATACACAGGTGAAATCGAAGTACCTGCTTCTGAAAATGCTGGATGGAGGAGTGATTTCAAGTTTCTATTCGAACTTTTCGAGGCTTACAAAGTGTACAAGAAATGCGCTAAATTTCCAAAAATCAAGTGGCAAAAACTTCCTTCACTTCATAATGCGAGATGGAGCTCTAGAGCAGCGTATGCTGTACTAGCTTAATTTCTTCTTGAAGAACATCGTCAGCAGCTGAGCAGTATCTGCAACTTTATATCAACTGTATGGGCATCAGCTTAGTTCTCTAATCAGCATTTCACTGAACACAGTTTTGAAGAATTGCATTCTGCTTTTTCAGAATTTGATTGTCAGGAAGCAACAAAGTGTTTCCAAACGCATTGGGTAAATCAGCCTTCAGCAATTGACATTCCACGATCAAACATTGTGGCTGAAAGAGCAGTCAAAATAACGGAAGATATTTACACTACCTGCAAAAGTGACAAGTACCTTAATATTTACTATATTTAAATAAAAGTTCATCATTTGCCACCCAGGAATCTTGATTGAAAAAAAGTCATATACCTAATGTGGAGGTTATAACATCCTCCACAAATCGTTAAAACCTGTCTGTAAACTAAACATATATAAAAAATTAATAGTAAAAATAAATAAAAAAGGTTTTGGAAAAAAATGAAAAAATTCTTAAAAGCAAAAAAAAATTGGGTGAGTCTTTTTGCACAGATGTGTGATTAGACTATATCTTATTATAGTCTATTCGCACGTTAGAAAATATTAAAAGTTAAAATTTTTATAATAAAATTAACAAAAAAATACTTCTAGTTTAAGTCAGGGGTCATTGCATAACTACGTAATGTTAAAAATAGATTGTTTTTTTTAAAAATCTGAATTTAAATTGTTCATATTCAGTTGTACGTATTAACTTCTATTATCAAATGCATTTTTTATCCCCTAGTAGTGTTACACTGTAATTAATTACACAACTTTATTGAAAATGTTTTGGATTGAAACGGTTTTTAATGGATCAGGTGAATAACTCGGGAATATAAAGAACTATAAACAAAATGAAACTATACGGTTTTAAATTTTTTTTCTAGCACTCCGATTAAATGCTTATAAAAAAAGAGTCTGTTTAAATTATTTACAAAATTTTAACTAAAATTGCTTTAAATAATGGTTTAAATAATGGTTCTTGCAAATCAGTAATCCATGGAGTACTACCATATTATTCCGAAGGTAAAACTAAAAAAGATCCAAACAGTTTAAACTGCGGTTTCCGGTTCTCACAAGCGGGTGACCAGAACTTTAGCTAATCTCTGCAAATTCGACTTATTCTCCGACTAATACTGTGCTATTCATTTTTTGTCTACGACAGATGCTATAATGATTTGTCTTGACTACAACAGCTGGAAAATTCAAGCCATAAACTTGACATTGTCTCCCGCAAAGGAGACTGATAAACAATACAAATCAAATGGGTATAACTTTCTGATTTTGACTTGATAGAGCCATTCTGCGTTTTCATGGATTATATGCACTGTAGCTTCTTCGAGTAATAACAACTATGTACATGTCAAGATCATAGTCCAGGAAGACATTAATTGCCTCTTTAATAACTTTCGGATACCTGAAATGCATTCTCGTCTGGTCCTCCATCTGACCGTGACACTCGAAATGGTTAAATTTTTTTGATAGTGTTTTGTAAAAATTATCAAATTGTTCATGATAAATTATGTGGCGTTTCCGTGCCATGAATGTAGGCATTTGATGAACCATGCTTTCCAGAACGGATCGCTATATATGTTGGCCCAGAATTCTTTATTCCGATTGCCTTGTTGCCAAAAATCTCATCATTGATAGTTAAGAAAGTGTAAACTGAAGGTATTAATTTATGCTTCTTGGCCACAATCCAATCATGATCTGGAAATATTCAGTAATCTGTACTCATCATAATTGGCTGTTCCTTATTTGCTGGAGTAACTCCAAGAGCAATTTTAGCTTTATCATCAGGCAAAAACAGCATTGTGTTTGAGGACCAATTACTGTGCATAGTTCCATAACGAGCCTGATAGCAGCCAAACTAAACTGGGCATCCAGATTTTTCTTTCGAACATTAAAGTAAACTTTAACAAGTTTCACTGGAAACGTTGTACATGTCTTTTGCCTTCATTTGTATTCCAAAAATATAGAATCAGACGTCTGTAAACAGCAGTTCTTTCAAGATTGTAACCTTTTTCATTATATCCAATAATTCAGATCGGCGTCAAGGATCAACTCCAGCTTCATTGAAGCAAACGAGTTCCCAAATCATAGTAAGAAGATCTGGATAGTTCTGCTCCTTTCTGGGACGCCCTAATTTTTCAAGTAATGCTTCATCTGCCGCTTTGGATAACTTTTTGTAATTTTTTTTCTTTTCAGGCCAAATTTCTCTACTTGACAACAGTTAAGTCGAAGAGTTTGAATAGCTTGTTAAATTTTCTTTTTTCTAGTTGTCAAAGAATTGAAGATCTTTTGCTTCAGCTTCTGAGTCACCAAAACCTTTCTGTTGCTTCGATACAAGGAAAGATATGTTTGCATTTACTTCATCCAAACGTTTTTGTTCTCTGATTTTTGCTGCTGTATGGCGTTGTTTATCTTCCGATACATTTTGTTTTTCAATCTCATTTATAGTTAATTCATTGTAGGTGATTTTCAACGTTGGGAGTTATTAGGAAAAAAAAAGAATATAGTTATAGAGCAAAAAAACGGTCGACAGAAGATTTGAAAAGTTGAAGGTTGTATGAGTCAGGAAAACATGAAAATGGGAGAAAGTTTCTAAGGGCTGCAGTACGGGGAAAAAAACTAAACGAATAAAAGTTTTTAGAGCATGCAGAGACAGATACAGTAAACGAATGAGACTTAGCTGAATGACGAGTCAAACGAGAATGAGTTGATGGAACTAGAGATGATAACTCCTTTGAGCAGTGACCATGGGTAAGAGGCTCAAGCTTAGCAGATAGACCAGATCCAACTACGTTTACCAAGCATTTTTAGACCTTGTCTAGAAGAGAATGTGTATCATTAGAAGAACCAGCCTAAATATGATAACAGTGTTCCATACAGGGACGAGTAAGAGATTTGAAGAGGTAGAGAATAGAATCAGGAGTAAGAAAATGGTGAGCACAATAAAGAGAAGCAACCTTAGCAGAAATTAATTTAGCAGTCAATTCTATATATGATTTCCATGAAAGGTCAGTTGTAAACAATAATCCAAAAAGATGGAAAGAAGAGGACTTAGTAAGAGAATTGCTATTTATTAATAAAGTAATGTCGATCATATTGCGATAGTAAATAACAGAGGTTTGTTAGAGTTAAAACTCACATGCCCTGTGAGCCCCAATCTATTACAGATTCAAGATCGGCTGTCTGTTCTAAACGATCAAAAAAAGAAAACTTTTTGTCAAGACAGGAGTATAAAGTTGAGTCATCAGCAAAAAGAGCCACTTTATTTGTAAGGTTGTCTAGAAGAACGTTATTGTAGATAAGAAACAAAAGAGGGCTCAGGATGGAGCCTTGAGGTACTCGAGAAGTTACTGAAAATAAAGAAGAGTGCTGGCCTTCAAGGATGACTTTAATAAAGCGGTTAAAAAGAAATGAGTTGATAATTTAAAAAACTTTCCCAGACACAACATATGAAACAAGCTTGTGAAAAAGACCAGCATACCGAACTTTTTCAAAAGCTTTACATATGTCGTGAGCTATAGCCCATGCCTCACCGCCTCCATCTAATGCGCGATAAAATCTTTCAGTTACAGTAGTTAGCAAGTCAGCTGTAGAGCGAGAGGATCAAAAACCGTTTTGATTGTCTGACAGTATTTTATTTGACTCAAGATGAGATGTGAGGAATTTTTTGATCAAAGACTCAAAGACCTTGCTAATAATAGAAAGAAGACTGAATGAACCATAATTGAAGGGGTCAGAATGTTCTTCAGAGCTTTTGAAAATTTGAAACCATGAATACCATTTTCCAGCAAGCAGGAAAACAAAACTCAGTCAATCACTTATTAAATAGTTTAGAGAGAATTAAAGAAAGTTCTGGAGAACAATTCTGCAAGACTGTGGCAGGAAGGTTGTCTGTTCCACTAGCTGTAGAAGAGTTGAATTGAGGTATGACTTTAGGAACGGACGCCGGAGTGGTTTGAATGTCTAACAGTGGGTCAACCTGTTTAACTGGAATGGAAGGATTATAATGGCCATAAGATTTAAGAGTGGAATTAGAAGAAAAGTTCTTTGCAAATAGTTCTGCCTTATCCTTTAAGAGGTAATAAGATCAGTCCCATGAATGAGAGATGGAATGTTAGATCTAACTTTGTTAATAATGCTTTTGAATATTTTTTAAAAGTCTTTAGAGCCAACTTCTGTGATAAGATGTGAGATTTTGTGAACTGAGTATAATGGAGTTTAGCATCTGAAAGCACCCTTTTACATTGATTTCTTGCAATAATAAATAACCGTTTGTTTTCAAGAGAGTTGTTCTTTTGAAAAAGCTGCAAAAAATGATTGCGGTTAGATTTGGCAGCTGCACAATAAATTGAAAACCTTGGAGTAGAATGACTAGGCTTGATTTGGAATCGAAGAGAAGTAATAAAAGCTTCCATTTCTGCCTGAATCCAGGAGGTTTTAGCCCAAGGACCAATACAAAAAAAAATCACGAAAAGAATCCTAGTCAGCTTTAGGGTAGTATTAGGTGGTACAATGATAGGGTGAGCCCGAAAAAGAAGTACGAGAGGAAAGATTTATAAAGATCATTGCATGGTCAGAACAACCTAAGGGAGAAAAAGAAGAAACTGAACATAAGCTAGGCTCAAAGACTAGACATAATTCAAGGAATAAAGGTAAATGATTAGGGTTGTTAGGATAACGATTCACAAAGTTAACTATCTGAATAAGAGATTAAGAAATGAAAAAGTTATAGGCTTTAGCGCCAGCAGGATCAGTGATGTTAGAGCCAATCCATTCAGAGTGATATTAAAGTCACCAACAACAACAATATTACTATTAAACCATTAAACTCGGTTTAATGGTTCTGCCGGTGTCAGAACCATTAAACCGAGTTTTAGAGCTGTACCTTCATAAGGAGATAATAGGAAGAGTTGCATAGCCACTATCAAAGAGATATAAGCAAAAATCTATGAGTTGAGTTAAGAAGATCCAGCATTCATCATCCTAGGCAGGAAACAATGTAACACAGGTTTACATTTACGCCAGCCCCAGATGAAGAAGGAGTACGAGGCTGGTTAGCAGATTTTTTCTGCTTACCTATAAAGTCTTTGCCTGGGAGGCCTTCTACCAGACAGTAGCTGGATGCAGTTAACATCTGCCCAAAATGAATATTATTATCAAGACACCATCTTTCACCATTATCAGCCTTTACTCAATCAAGAGCCCCAAGGTAGAGGAAGTTTAGCTGGATGCAGTTAACATCTGCCTAAGATTAGTATTTTTCATCGAGACACTATCCCTAGCTTTTTCTCAACCAAGAGCCCCAAGGTAGGGGATTTTTTAGTTTAAGTTTATTTCTCCCAACCTTTGCATAAAAAAATACACTCTACAAGGCAGCAGGGCTTGTGGCAGGTGGTACATGGTTACGTGATACCAGTAGTAAGTTGATCATGATGATTCTCAACCTGACCTGGAGTAGTTAAAAGGAGTTACTTCCCGCAAACAGTACTTTAAAAACACCAGTCATGACATTTTGGAAGTGCATTAGGAAAAACGCTGCATCTAACGAAATACAGGAGTCTAAGGTGAACGCATGTTTTATAGTTGGAGTAAGTAGTTACTGAGCTCATGCTGCATTAAAGATTTAGACAGAGCACAAACTAACATAAATCATTTTACGGGTGAGTCAACACCGCGCCAGAGATTTAAACAGAATACAAACATACAGATAGCAACTTTCGAGTTAGTCTATACCGTGCTTGAGGTTCAGACAGAACACAAACATACATATAAAGTAGATAAAGTATAGGTGAGCTAATACAGTAACTAAGGCACCTCCAATTATATAAAAAACACACAGACAAAAAAAATAAAAATAAAATAAAAAAAAATGAAAACAATAAAAAAAATAATAAAATGTTACCATAGGCATGACTGATATAAGATAGTACTGATGACGGGAAGCACACTCCTTCCAGCCTTTGCTAAGAAAGCAAATCCCACTAGGCAGCAGGGTGATCATAAAGACCATTTTCCTGACCTGATAATGACTTTATCTTTGTTTATTGTTTACATAACTATATAAACATTCCTGATGTTAGCTTGTTGTTTAAAAATGAGTTTTCTTTATATTTTCATTGTTTATTTTCATTTTGTTAAATAAGCATGTATGCTTTATATTATTTGTAATCTTCATTCCTTTCATCAGTTGCTATGGTTATTTTAAAAGCTAGTACTTTTTAATCTGTGAATAGATTTAATACTAATTTCAAATTGCAATATTTATTTTTTATTACAACTTTTTAACTTTAGCTACATCTTAAGTAAGTTTAATAAAAACTACTTTTTAATATTTATTCATTTCCCGACAATTGATAATTTATTTTTTATTAAAACTTTTTAACCTGAGTTCCATCTTCAACTGCATTGAGTGGTAACTTTTAAAATGTTATTTATTGTATACTACAAAAAACTTGTTCATATATGTATGTATTTCACACCAATAGCAATATTTATTTTTTATTACATCTTTTTTAACCTTAGTTCATTCGACATTTACTGCAACTGGTATGCTTACAAACTATTACTTTTCAATATGTTTTTCAATATGCATTTCTCAGGAAATCCAATATTTATTTCTTATTAAAACTTTGTTAACCTTTAGTTACATCTTCAGCTGCAACAAACATTAAGTTTAAAAACTATTATTTTCCAATATGTGCATGTATAATGCATGTGTAAAAGTATTATTTCTAACATGTGTATGCTTACCAATTGCAAATAAAATCATTTTTATAAAGATTGAAATATTTAAAAGAATGAAATTTTGATAGTGTGGATTACCACCCCCTCCGGATACCTTGACGCACCTTTATCTAGAAACTAGTTTGAAATTATAGCCCATTTTAACATCTATATTTTGATACCAAGTTATAGATATTTGAATCAGAATCGGCAAAGTTATAACAATTTATGTGAAACATTTTTTTTTTTGACCAAGAAATCCATATATCGAAAATTTGTACTAAAAACGTCATAACTTTTTATAGAATTGTCCAATTTTCATAATTTTGTCATCTTTAAAATACTGCATCTAATGGTATATTATTTCTTGTATTTGATCAACTTAAAAAAGTCAGTCCACGTACCTATATAAACACATTAACAAATACACATTTAATCATATTTATATAACCTTATAAACGAGTAAAAGACGTTTTTTATTATTCTAGACCAGTTTATAATATAATAACGCTAAAACCCATAAAATTTCCAAAACCATTACAGAGTTACTTTTTGACAAGAAAATTATTTCATTAAGAATTCAATAAATATTTCCTTCGTATCATTTCAATATAACACGAAGTTAAAACTATAAAACATATAATCTCAGCTCACTTGCAACAATTTATTGAACTTACTGGTCATTCTCTTGGACGATACAATGAACAGGCATCTGAATCGGCTCATTCAAAAATGAAGCCAATAATTGAACGATTCAATGTTTCACAAACAAGCTCAAAGCACTCTCTTAGAAGCAGAAGAATTGCTGAATCGTTCAGCAGTACGAATTTATAGATTAAAAATTTTAGATATATTGATATTTGTTTATAAATTTAAAACATTAAATATAAATAATTTTTTTAATTGTTAGCTAACAGTATAAAAAAATCTTAGTTTTTTTTAACATTTGCATTTTATGCAAATGTTAGAAATATGATTAACTATTGCAACATGAATAGTTAATCAGGTATATGAGTTAGGATAATAAGAATTGTCTTTTTAAAAGAACTTAACATTTTTTCTCCCCTTCAAAAAAAAATTCCACTCAATTTCAAGGCCAATGCAACTTTTTTAGTGTTTGAGATAACTATCTTCTAGACATGTCGGAAACTCCAAACATTGATATTTTCATGTTTATGTCAAATAACGACACTTTGCAAAATTTGTGATGATTAGAACTTGGGAACAAAATAACCACTAAAGGTTAGCCCCCTACCCATAACAAGTAAAAAACAATTTTAAAAAAAATCACTAGTATTAACTCAGTTTAAATTCATTAACAAATTTCAAGTTTCATGGAATAATCTCTTAGAGTTCCGTTGTTATGACCCACCAAAGTTTATTGTCCCCTCAAATTGAGGGGGATTCGAACTTTATATGGTCATAATTTTTGAACACTCAAATATTATTGCATGGAATTTTAAATTAATTGATGAATTTAAACTGAGTTAATAATATCGAAATTTTTTTAATACTATCAATAAAATTTCAATATTATTAACTCCTTTATTAGGCATACATTCACCACATTCTATCAAAGTTTATTAATTTGATTACCAATTTTAAAAAAATTATTGTTTTATTTAATAAAAAGATTTTTAAATTTTTAAATTAAATAATAGTTAACATTCACACCTTATAATCTTTCATTTCAGAACTTCGATAACCAGCTTCCATGTATCTCCGATGCAATAGATCCAATGATAAAAATGTTCTTGTCAACCCACCAAAAAATTCACATTCTCCTTCACACCAAGCACAAGCATACATACCACCATGAGACTAAATTTTCTTATGTTTTTTTAAAATCCTAATTAACTAATTAAAATTTACATTATAAATTATTTTTAAATCATAACTTACTGAAATTCCCAGAAGAATATTAATTATTTTCAAATCAGCTGCAAGAACATATTTACAATCTTCTAGCTTTAGAAGATCTAATAAAATGGCTAAATTTTTGTGTGTCTCCTGCAAGTTGTCACAATATGCAAGAACTATGGAATGGTTAATTCCAGAGTATGTACCGTGAGAACTTTGATCTTCGCATCGTTCTTTTTCTGGATCAAAGAGGTTACAAATTACCTTAAGTGATCCACCTCCTACAAAATTTTAATTTTATATTAAAAAATATATATTATTAAGTTCTATATTATATATAGGCTATATATTATCTCTTCATCTAATAATGTTTTTACCTGAATCAATTCCAATTCGTATTAATGTTTGGTAAGGGTTTTGCTTTCTGTAAGTCATTACAAATTTAAGCAGCTCTGTTAATTGAAAAACATAAACAAGGTCTCTTGACACATTGGTTGACAACTCTTTTTTTTTTTCTTCTGCAAAAATTGTCTTCACATCATAAAATTTAGATAGGAGTTTACTTTTTTGGTAAAGTTTTTTTTCAAGATTTGCCTCAAATTGAATTCCACTTTTCCTTAAGGATTTCATAAGGATGTGTGATTTGAATTGAATAAGTTCAAGTCGATTAATCATAGTTTCAGTGTCTTCAAATTTGACTTTCCTAATAACTAATTGAGGAACACCAACAGTTATAGGTAATGGCAACCCACCTGAATAACAAAATACTTTAGATGATTTAATCAATTCGAAAACACTAATAAATCTAATAAACAAATTACCAGTAATTAGATGGGTCTGGATTCCATGCATAAGTTTCTTTTTCTTAATAATCGATCTTAAAACATTCGAAGTGACTTTTTTCTGAACTTTTTCCGAAGCATTAAATAACTTAGCAGAAAGATTTGTATACACATTCATTTCAGTACATTGATGTTGAATTCCTTTTTTGATCGCACATAAGCAAACGTTACACATCCTATTAGAACTTACTAATTTCTTTGTTTTTTTCATATGTGGAAATCTTGATCTAGCCTTTGAACAAACTGTGCATGTTTCACAATTTCTAGTGCTTACACATCTAGATAATTGGGGAGATTGCCATCGAGTTTTAACTGCATTTGGTATGTCTTTACTTTCCTTCAGTAAGTTTACATACTTTTTGCATGTTGGAGAAATGCCTACATAAAGTAAATTCATTTTTAAATAATGATTATTTTTAGAAAGTAATTTTTAATAAAACAATTGCATTAGTTAATCATAATATGGAATATACCAGTTGGATAACTGTACACAGATATTGAATATTCAGGTTTTACATACATTTTTATGTAAGCCTCTAATAACTTCGTTACTGGAATACATTTTAAGCATTTCTTCAAACAACAGCAACAAATAATTTTCTGATTCAATGAATGGTCTTGTTTTTCTTTGCTGTTTACTGTTTTGTTAGATAATATATTAGGCATTTTTCTAATAAAGTAGTTTATGTTTAACATTAACAATAACGAAACAATAATTAATACTATATAATATACTATATGAATTACGCTTCCATCAACAATTCTATAGAAAAATTAACATCTTAAGATGATCAAAATTTAATTGCCTGCAATACTGGATTAACCTTAACATAATTAAAAAGTGGTAATATTGATTTTTTATGAAGAAAACCTTAACTTTACAACTCTCACCCCCTCCCCTTTTATAAAATAATTTACAAAAGTTTGAAATCGTTTTTTTCAAAAACGGCTACCTTTTGATTTTTAGGCTTCTAGATACAGTATCCTGAAGAGTCACTGATAAAAGTTCCATAAAAATATTTGGGGAACTCTGACCTGAAACTTAAAACCTATTTTTTTGATGTGTGTAGCGTTGATGACAAAGAACCAATAATAAATATTTCCAATAGTGATAAGTTACAAACTAAATTTTTTTCTATAAGACTTTAAAAAACGTTTTTTTGTTCTCTGGTTTAAGAAAACCCAAGTAAACATTATTTTTTACTTGGTTTTTTTAAACCAGAGAATTAAATCCATTTCAACGCTCGATTTTAAATCCATTATGTCCAACATTTTTTTTTTGTTAGTATAAAAAGCATCAAGTTTTGAAGTTGATCAGTGTGCATTGTGGATCTGAAATATTTTTTGATCATGTTTCTTTTTTTAATTATTTGCTAAATGTTTGTTTATTTGATGACAATGACGCCGCAGGGGTCATTGGCTTCAGCAGTTTTGTAGCAACATACTTTGAAAGTAATTATGTATGAAAAAATCGCGAATAATAGGTAATATTAAAAACAAACTTTAAATGACTATAAAGTTTTATAAAATTGGCCCTCGCAGATTTTTATGTGTTTTGACAGCACTGGATGATGCACTTATGAGTGCTGTTAACATCAATCTTAATATGTTGTTTTTAGTTGATAAAAGTTTCTTGTCTATTTCTGATAGATTAAAAATTTCTGATAAACCAGAAACACCTTTACAACAATGAACTACCACTGAAAAATCAGAATAAATTCCATCATAAGTTGTCGTCATAAGTTGTCGTCATAAGTTGTCATATTTTTTCAAATGCTAAGATTATAATAAAAGCAATTTAACAAGAGTATCAATCAGGTTGTGGTCTTTAGATTCAAAACTATGAGCTAAAATTTTCATCTTGTACATGAAAAAACCTTGTTTCATAAAGTACAAGGGTACTAAGAAGGCAAATGTAAGCATTCTTTCAGATCATCTTAAAGCTCGAGTTCTAGCATTTTTATCTAAATATAGGTCACTTGAAATTTCTGCAAGGATATTTATAATTAATATTAATGAAACCCATACAGAGTTCATTAGTTCTGCTCGAACTGTCCATTGAATTTTCAATCGATGGTAAAATTTTTGTAAATGTCAATATTTCTTTGTACTGGAATGCAAAGAAATTTATAAAAACGTTTGTTATTTATTTTACTTTTACATTTACATTTTACATTTACTTTTATTCGCTTCTGCACAACTTTACTTACTAAAGTGCCTTTAGAATGTTCGACCAACATTCTACAATCAAAACGATTTTAAAACATTCATTATTATTGATAGCGAAAGCGAAAGTCTAAAAACATTGGGTAAAATATCATTTCTAAAATAAACTCTTTTCAATAGTCGCATGAGGTCACCCTGGTTTGCTAACTATGATTTAGTGTTTGAGGTGGAGGGGTGGGGGGAGAGAGGGTTCTAATCCAATCAATCATACTATTGTAGATTTTTAATCAAAGTAATCTTCTTATTTAGTTATTAGGTTTAAAACATAATAATGAGCATTAACAGTAAAGTGTTTTTAGTTCAGTGTTAGCGCACCGGAGGTAAAAAAAAAAAAATCAAAAAAAAATTGAATTCAAAATTAAAAAAACAATATTTTGAAATAAAAAAAACTAACTGATAAGTTTTCAAAAATGAAAAAATTCTCTCGCTTAACTCTCAGCTTACACTATAACATATGTAGGTTAAGTTTGTGAAGCAACGTGACACATTTAGAATTTATTAATAAAACTTAAAAACTTTAAAGATAAAGTAAAATTTATTAAATGAGAACACAATAAGAATCCGTAAATGCCAAAAAAATTTTGCACCCCCCCCCTCCCCTGAAAATAAACCGGGTTTTTTTGTACAAAGGCAGAATGTTTTTTCTTGAAATTAACAAAAAAAAATTGCTATCTTACATATTCAGAATATATATAGAATTTATTAGGTACCTTTTAACAGTAGCGTAGCTAGAGTTTCTGGCGCCAATGCTGAAAATTGGCGCCCCCCTGAAGCAGACATGCGAACTAAAAAAAAAACACTTAATGTTTCCAAGTATATGACAACTTTAATAAAAAAAATGAAAATGCTAATCATAATGCTAACTCAATTTAGCTCATGTTTTTATTTTTTTTTTTTTTTTTGTAGTTATTTAGGTGCTCCCAGAAGTCCTTAAGGTCTTATCACAGAGCACCGCGGGAGTGCATTTAACTGGAAGTTCACGCCTCCTTCCGTACCAATGTTTCCAATTACGTATTCATTATGGTTCATGTGAATTAGTCATTGAAAGTGACAGATGGTCAATCAGATCCAATAATCAATAACTATTTATAAATTATAATTTGATCTTTCTAGCTTTAACTGCAGCAAATTTATCTATTATGACGTCAAAGTCTGTAGATTCTAGAGTTTCTTTTTCAATACTAAGGATTTGCTAAATCAACAAGACGTTATTGCCCCATTGAAGCTCGTAGATATGAAAAAATAAACTTCATCTTGCTGAAGGAATGCTCGCAACTGGCTATTGACACTGCAATTGTAAGCAAGATTTGTGATGCAATGCGTAAGTTTGGAAAAACGTCATCTCCGTATGACAAAATAAATGAAAGTAAATCCAGTGGAATTGTTGGTATTGGGCCCCCACGAGATTTAAGCAGCGTCTGACAGTCTGCGATTTCAGTACATAATTCTGCTCCACTGATATCTGTATTGTAAAAATTTCCCAGATCCAAACAATGTTGCTGCAAACTTTCTTGATTTTCATCACAATTGCTAAAGAGATGCAAGAATATTGCTCTCTTTAGCAATATTCTTGCATCGAGCAAGAATCCAAATTTTTCATTGAGATCATTTAATCGTCTAAAGCGAGTTGGTAGTTCTTGTTGGAAACAATCCAATATCATTTTTAAAACTCTGCTAACTTCATCTTTAGCAGAGAGGCCACTATCTCCAGTCCTTTCACCTGGCATTATTCGCCGTCGCCTGACTCTCCCTTGCTATACTCAATTGAATTTTAACACAAATGATCACGAAATTCTTTGAGATAATTTTCTAACATTTCCATATCAGATGCTGCATCTTTAAAGTTTATTGTGGGATCTTGTAGTCGTTTTTGAACACGGTCTACTTTTCCAAAAATGTTGTCCCAAAAATGAAGTAAAACAATAACATCAAATTTCAGAATATTTTGAAGTAAAGTTCCAGCTTCATTTCTTGTATCCATCGTCTGGCTTATGTAATCTGAAAGACTTTCAAGAAGTTTAACCACTTCAGTGATTCCTTCAGAAATTGCTTTAACAGCTTCCGCTTTTGCACTCCATCTGGTTTCTGCTTCCCGTTTAACAGTATCTTAACAGCATTTTTCAGTTGCTCCCATCACAGAGTTGAACAATAAAAAAACAGATAAATGCTTTCAACTGTTCCAAAAAATGTTATGACTATAGGATCTACTTTAGCAGCATAAACTCCGACCAAGTTCAAACTATGGTTATCACAATTCACTAACAATACTCGAGGATTTCGGTCACATATTCGTTGTTGAAGCCCAGAAATATGTCCTGTCATCAGAGCAGCGTTGTCGTAACATTGGGATCTACAATCTGCCAGAGGTAGGTTGTCCAATTCAAGTTTCTCAGTAATATCAGTTTCAAAAGTTGCTGCATCTTTGGCATGAATTTCAATGTATCCAAGAAATGATTCTCTGATCACAACATTCTTGGTAACAAAATCAATGTCCACAAATCTTATTACTTCGGATAACTGCTCTTGATGTCCCAGATCAGGAGTCGAATCAAGTAAGATACCAAAATACTTACTTCTTTTTATACTGGTGAGGAGCCTATCTCTAATAGTACAAGCAAGTAGGTTTATGAATTCATTTTGAATGTCTGAAGACAGATAAGAAACGGACACTGGATTTTCTTTAGCATGCTGTAGATGGTTTGCAGAGTGAAGGTCATACTCAGCAAGGAGTTTAAAAAGGCAAGAAAATTTCCTATATTGGCTCCTTCATCAGCAGTACTAAATTTTTCTCTATGACCACGTAAAGCCATGTTATGAGAAGCAAGAACTTTAATACAAGAAAGAATTCTTTTTAAGATATTTTGCCAGTGCTGCTTTTCAGATTCAATTTGGGCTTCGAGTTCTGAATCTATTCTTTCTCCATAAATTCTTCTTCTTTCAGCTTCTTTCCATTTTTTGACATGAAAATTTTTGATTGATGAGATTTTGCGACATGAAAGGTTGGTATGTTGTTTGGTCAAATTTTAAAAAGCCAACATCAAGAAATGACAATACAGCAGGAATAGGAAGATCTTCAACCATTTCTTCATTTTTACCGTCACTGTCATTATTAAGATCCGGATCGCGGGTATCTTCACCTCCTTGGTCCATTGAGTCTTCTTCATTTTCGGCAAACAGCTGATAACTGCTTTCATCTCTGCTGTCATCTTCAGATTCTGATTCATTATGCTTCAGTATGCTGTTATCTTCAGATTCTGATTCACTTTCTGCACCATCTGTTTTCGCTTTCTTTGAATATAGAAACTTGCTCATTAATTCTTTGAACTTTATAGCCTCTTTCTCATCATTTTTCTGCTTTTTTTGACGCTGAGCCCACTTAGTTTGTGTTTTTGCATGTCTGAATTTGAAAAAAAATATTGTGATAATTAGTTTCTCTACTTAAATATTATAAAATTATAATTTGTAGAACTTAAAATCGTTGTAAGTTAAAGACTGAATTCTCGGAGTCGAACTCGTTTACATTTATCATACATTGATGGTCTTAACTTCTTTAAACAATATATACATTCTATGTATAGAAGACACGTTCGACTCCGAGAATTCCGCCTTTAATCTTTTTGTCGCGTTTAATATTTAGGCGATGACGATAATGCTGTACAACGTTTAAGTGTTGAAATTTTGTCATTTTAAAATATGTAAACTTTCAAAATTGTATAACTCAGTTTTAGTATGATATTAACACTTACCTTTCTCATTGATAAATTTAGTTTAGCTGAAATGTTTGTATTTCATATTGATTTATATTGAAATATTTAAGTTAAAAACTCATAACTTTCACCGTAATTTTAGGTTGAGTTTGTATTACTAATACGTAAGTATGCAATGCTAGCTCGAGCGTGTTCGAGTTCGAACGTTCGAACTTTAAGCCAAAATTTCAACGTTCAGGTTCAAGCTTATTTTCTCTAAAAGTTCAAATTTTTAGAAAAAATGCCTTTACTGTCATTTCGATAAATACAGCGAAATATAAATAAAAAATAGTCTTTTAAAATTCGTTACATTTTTTGAAAACAATGTTCTTTCCTTTATGATTTATTTGTAGCTATCTAAAAAGAAAAACAGTAGAAAAAAAAGTGTTTGTCTGACCACTCTAAAAATACAAACAAAATAACGCCACCTATAAAGCCATTGCGATTCAGAATGCGTCCGTTTTTTTCCCGTTAAAAATTAAATGAACAGTAACCGTTAGACCACTCTTTATTTACGTTTTGAAAAAAATGAAAATTCAAAGTCAAAAATAAAACATGGCTTATTTCAAAGACGTCAGCAAATTTAGAAGATCTGAGGTTTGGGATTATCGGGGTTGCTTGTTGCTGGTGGTCCGGTTCTGGTTGTTCTTGAACTTGCTCTTTTATTCAGCTTTGTTACTGTTAGTCACTGAGCAGTTGTTGGCTCAGAATCTGAGTTCATTTATTTTTGTTATTTTTTCCCCTTTTTGGCGCTCCCCTTGAGTGGCGCACGGGGTGACCGCCCGACCTGCCCTCCCCTCGCTACGCCTCAGCCTTTTAATTATCTTTCTGACGAGTCAAAGGTTTTCGCAAATGCGAGTGTGTTTTTTACCAGCAAAAAAATATCTATACCTATAAAAAAAAGATAAAAAAAAACGTATTTACTTAAACTACAATTGTAAATGACCCTGACTGTAGAAATATTTATCTAAAATATATTGGTCTAAAATATATACTGATACTGATTTAGTCTCAGATGTTTTTAAATTAGGCACTGAATAAGAAAACATATTTTAATTTTAATTTCAATAACATTTTACATTGAAAAGAAACTTACATCGATTTATGCTTTTAATTGTGCTTTCAATCAGTATCAATGCATTTCATTATTTTTTGTGTATATAAAAAGAATTTTACAAAACACAATAACTAATAAAACGCTATGATCTAAACGAGATAAAAGAAATAATAATAATAAAAAAAATATAAATAGTGATAAAAAAAAATAATTCAAAAAATATATATATAATGACACTCATATATCAAAGTATAATATATATTTATTTGCATATTTAAATGTACATATATACGAAATAAAACATTGAAAATATAGATGTTTCGTGAAAGTTACATAATAGGGTGGGTCAAAAATTTTTTTCTCTAAAATCCAGTTGTAATAGTGAAAACATGCAGTCTTATTGGTTCAGTTACAAATCTGTTAAAAATTATTCTTTTCTTTTTTAGTGTAACAGCCCGCGCATCGGTCTCGAAGGTTATTAAAAACATATAAAAACGTGGTTTGAAGCCACTACAGCGTAAACAATTTAACAAATTTACTTTGCGAACTAAACGCATATTATTGCGTTACTGCAAAGTAATATAGAGTTATTGAGCCCACCTTGTTAACAAATTGTTTTGTTTTTACTACTTCAGAGGATATTTATAAGTGGTTGCTTATAAATATCCTCTGAAGTAATTGTTTAGTTTGCTTTTAGCGCGACAAAAATATTATAAGAAAACAGTTGTGTGTGCGTTTACATTTGTTACATAAATTTCTCAACACTAACTAATAAATCTTTTCGGAAACTAGAAGACAAAAATGTCAGTGCCCTTTTTTCGGGAGTGTACAAGATATTAAGGACAATGTATTGCCTACCTACGAAGATGCCATGAAGATTTTATACAGCATACCAGAGTTCTATTTGACATTTGTTCATGTAAATGTAAACACATTTAACTTTGTTGGTTTCCAAGAGAAAAAAGGTAACAAAAGAAGCACAGAAGTTTTTGCTTGATCAAAGACAAGAAAGTAGGATGAGAACTGGTAGAATAGGTCGTATTCTTCCAACTAAATTACAAAAAATGTTACAAGAGCCTCTAAGATGAACAAATCTATTTTGCACATTCACAAAATTCAACAGAAGTGTAATACTGAACAGCAGGAGTTGGTGTCGTCTTTAAGTGAGTCTGAAGGCAATATTTCTTCGCCTCATAGGCCAAACTAATTTTTAACATCACAAATAAAGAAAATAACAAAAAATACAGTTAAAGGTTTGCTTATGTTGTCAAAAACCTGCAACCGTTACGATATTTTCAACAGAGCAGCCGCTGCGATTGTTTCTTCACTAATGCACGATATATCTTCGGATATTGAAGTGTTCGATAAATCAAAAATACGGCGGGAAAGGAAAAAAGAACGTAATGAATTATATAAACAACAAACGCAGCTTCATTTACCTGCTTTATACTTTGATGGACAATAAGAAAAGACGCTAAGTATTGTAAAGAAATGTGCAAAAAAGTACAGAAAAACAGTGATTGAGGAAATGTATCTTTTGCTAAAGAACCAGATTCAACTAATATTGGTTACGTTAGGCTAGTTCGAGGTACTGCCAAAAGTATTGAAACATCAGTTAACGGGCTTCTCTTGTCACAAAAAAATAATCTAGATGATTTGATGGCTATTGGTTGCTATGGTACGGTCACTAACACATGAAAATCCTACTGCGTGATGAGAACCTTTGAGAAAAAAGGCTTCAATGCCCCTTACAGTGGATTATTTGCATGCTACATTTAAACGAGTTGCCTTCGAGACATCTATTTATCGAATTAAACGGTGTTACTACTGGCCCATCCTCACATGCTGGTTTAATTGGCAAATCATTAGAAAACTGTAAAATATTACTAATAATAAACTATGGAAAAATCCAGAAGTCAAATTTGAAGATCTGAGTACAGATCAAAAATTCTTATATCAAATAACAATGGCAGTTATTCGTAGCTCTGATGATTTGAGTAACAGATTCCCGAGTATGATGTCCCATGCCCAATGGTTAACAAAAGCAAATAGAATATTACGATTATATATTTATAAATCAAATCCATCAGATGAATTAAAAATATTAGCTGAGTATTGTATGAAAGTATATACTCCAGTATGGTTTCAAATAAAAAGAAATCCAACTTGAAATGATGGGTCTAAAAACTTTTGGAAATTAATTAATTGTTTTCAATATCTACCAGCTCAGCTTAAACTAATATTAGCTCCCATAATTCAATGTATTGTCTATTCTGCCCACCCTGAAAATTTGCTGAAAAACTCGCATACAGGAGGATACTGGATAATTCCATATAAAATCATCCGGAAAAAAACATTTTTGACACCCTTGCGTCTCAGAATTTGTTAATTTTTACCTCACTTGCAGTTCATATTTAAAGAATAATAACTAGAAAAATTTTAGTTAAAAATACACATCGGTTCTAGACAAATCGTCAGTTGAAATAATGCTGACATTTTAGTGATTATCTGAAGCGACTACAATGCAACTTTGACATATAGCATCTTCATAATGGCTTGAGGAAATTTCCTAAAATTTGGTACCCTAATAGATTTTCACTTGAGGAATCTAAAAATTGCATCCTCAAGACTTGATTGTGTCAAAAAATGCCTCATTTATTCAGTTTTGTTCAAAATTATTGACTTGTAAATTCATGATTTTTGGAGGTATGAAGACTGTTGTAAAATGAAGTTTAATTTTATATCATTATTTTATCTTAGGTCTACTGAAAAAAATTAGATTTATCAATTGTCTTTTTAATACTTGATCCAATTTTCCGGTTAAAAATTGTGTCTGTATAGAAAAAATCAAATTTCATTACAAAGGTAATTGAAACTTTTTAAAAAAAAATTTATTTAAATAAAATACCAAAAAGTGTTACTTATTGACTAGTTTAGAAAATTTATAGTCGTGGGCCAAGAGAGGGCCAGGGGGCCTCTGACCAACTTTTTTTTTTTTTTTTGTTCT